TCTTAAATTTTTACAGGACTCAATTTAATGTTAATACTTTACAGGTCAAGAGTGATATTCTGAAAAATGTGTGTGACAATGTTATTATACCCAAGATTATGTACGGTATCGGAGCTTGTCAGGTTGAGAACCAAGATTGATTCAATACAAAGAGGCTGGCTTCTGATTATCACTAGATGCTCTAGAACAGTTTCATCTGAAGTTGCATGTATTTTGGCCAGGGTTCCCCCTCTCTCCATTCATTATAAACAATAAATTCTTATTACAATACTATTACAATATTCAATAGAAAGCTCTTATTCTGGATGGAATCCAGGTTGAGAGCAACACATTTGCCCAAATTGACAATAATTCGATTCATCCAAGACAGAGACATGGTATTTTATTTGATTGCAATGTATTGCCTACCAGCGAATATGAAATCTATACAGATGGGTCCGGTTTCGAGGGAGGTGTGGGATGTGCGTTTGTCGTATATTTTTATGGTTTGGAGATCCATTATCAAAAATACATACTGGATAAACATAATTCAGTTTATCAATCAGAGCTATACGCCATTTATAAAGCCTTGGAATGGATTAAATCCAATTTGATCTATAAATGTACAGTTCATATATACTCGGATGCCTATTCAGCACTCGTCGCCCCCTCTCTCGGCCGGACCATAAAAATGATATCATGAATAAAATTAAAAATGATTATATGAATTTAAAATATAAAATGTCAATCAATATTCATTGGGTAAAGGCCCATATTGGTATCATTGGGAATGAGAGGGTGGATTCCCTGGCAAAGGAGGCTGCCCTGGGGGATGGGATCTCTGATGGTGATCTACAAACATTCTAAAAAAGTTACAATTAGCAAAATGAAAGATCACATGTATAAAACCTGGTCTGATCAATGGAATGTGTCTCCCTAGAAAATCAGAGGCCTTGTCAAATATAATAATTAAGAAGAATATGCCTATATTTTGCGATAAAGACTATAATCAATTAGTAACAGGGCATGGACGCTTTCCTATGTACTTACAGAGATTCCACCTCCAGGGGGTAAATTTATGTCTTGAAATGTGATACTGACGGTGACTGCATTCATTTTATTGAAAGTTGTACACTCACCGGGGGTAAGAGCCTTACATGGAATCGGAAATGTAAGAGAAATGATTCAAAATTATAAAAAAGGAGTAAAATTTGCACAAGACATTATGAAAGTCATCAATTCTCATAAACATGTGATCTGTATTTCTGATTGATCGAGCTAACATACTGAAAGCGTTCAATTTATAGAAACTACCCTTAACAGGAGAGAAAGACTTTGTGTGCAAAGGTGCAGGGACAGCTTAAATGTTTTTGTGTTTTTATGTGCAGTGTTATTCTGTTTAGTTTATTAACCCAATTTTCTTTTGATTTTATTATTTTTATTCTGTGATGTCTTGAGGTCCGTAGGGAAGAGTTCTCACGGTCGTTTTTATAATTTCATTATTTTTGCATTATGCTAATTTTTATGTTACTCGGTTCCCAGGCTTAGCTTTCCGGGGCGTTCTTTAAATGTGATTTTTTCTGCTTGTTTTTTATTCTATTCTATTTATTTATTTATTTTTTTTTTTGTTAAGCTGCTAAATTAATTTTGTTTTTATTTGGGCACAGCCCGCTCATGTCGTTTGTTGTTGGAAGGGTTGCGCCCATATAAAACAAAACACCTTAGAAACACTTATAGCTTTCCTGATTACAACTAAGAATAACCTTCGAATGGGAAATTTGTTAGCAGAAGGACCTAAACTAATGTTACTCTGAGATATGGGAGTGGTTGAAAAAGTAATTGTGGGACGAGAAGGACATATACGAGTGTGCATCATCACACGCCAAAAGAAAAAATCAGATGATTGTTATATACCGTTAATTTAATTATAATGCATCATTTGTGTTTTTAATGCAAGTTACTATACCTCCTCATGCAGTTTATGTTAAGATTTCTTTAAGTATTAAAAATTCATACACAAAGCAATTGAAAGATAACCAAGACTTTATTAAAAATTCCAAAAGAATAATAATTAAAAAAATAACTTGTATGAAAATACCAAATACATCAGAAATATAAATTAATCAAATTTGGCACTCGACCAATTAATTGAAAATTTGGCACTAGAGACATACAGAAAATAAAGATTATTTTTCTAACTTTCGAAATAATGCACAAAATCATTGTGTAAAATACAGCATTAGAAACATTTTTGCACTTCTTTTTATTCTTTCATGACAACTTGTTTGTCTAACTCAAGAACGTGGATACACAAATACAGTTTTCTTTAATAATATTCATAACTTACGAAGCATTTAAGATCCACAGATTGGGAGGGATAAGATTAAAATAACCATGAACAGCAGCCAATACACTAATTTTTTAACAGTTATGGTTATACAAGAAACTTTTAATACTGTTATCCATACAGCTGCTTCACACAGCTGTCATAAAGTCTAAGAATGATGGTTTGTATTATAATGAGAAAGATGTCTGCCATTATGTATCTATTTCCAACAAAGTCTTGAATTTTATCTGCCATTATGTATCTATTTCCAACAAAGTCTTGAATTTTATAATGCGAATTATGCAACTAAAATACAACTACTACAAATAATGTATGAGACATTTTATAATTCTGATTCCATTCACTTTCACAGTTGCAATATCGGAATGTCAGTTTCTAACTGTTCTTATTAAACATAAACTTCAATGCACTGAATTTTACTTAAACAAATTATTAAAGAAAACAGTCATTGAAAAAAATTTACAGAATAAAATGCTTCAGATTATTTACCCCATAAAACCTTTAGATAGTTTATAAATAATACTGGCCATTATAAAGATAAGCATGCAAATACACACTCATGGAAAGAAAGAAAGAAAGAAAAAAAAAAAAAAAAAAGGAGAGAGAGAGAGAGAGAGAACATTTCTAGCAGTGATGCAATATTTTCCTAAACTATACTTTTATGTCAAAAGGGCATCATTTATCAAGTTAGTCAAGGTTATTTTCAGCAATGTAATAAATGTAAATTATGTAGCACTAATGAAAAAAAAAAAAAAAAAAAGTATTAAATCTTAAAAAGGGGAGGAAGAGTTAAGTTTTTATTTATTCTTCCTTCACTTAGTTTAGGGTTTTTATATTATTTTAATTCAGCTCAATGTAAAACCACTGAACAATGAAACAAGAAAAGGCTAACTTCATCTCAGTATTACCATCTACAAGACCCTAAATTGCATCTATCAGCTATCAAAGAGAAGTTCCAACTGCAACTCTAGCATTTAACACGCTTGTGAATTTACCATGTAATTTTAATCAGACTTTAATATTTAAAACAATACAGCACTTTCAGATCTTTTAAATGCTGTTTATATATATATAATTGCTCTTTCTTGTAATAAAAACTAGTTATTAAATATTTTAAAAGATTTTGCAAATGATGAATGCTTTATATATATCAGAAGTCTGTTCTCATTCATGGATATTACTAAGAGAGACTGTGAGAAACAAACTGAAATTCATACATCATCAATCACATGCCACTGCTCAAACAAAAGAAATATTTTAAGCAACTGATGATTCACATTACATTACGTCTTGGTAAACAATTATATAAATGAGGTAAAAATTTTGGTATGATCAATAAAAGATGATAATGATATTAGAATATTCATTTTGTGATAAGTGTTTAAATAATGGAAAAAAAATTCATTGGCTAATGCCGGTCACAGAGTATGAGACTGGGAAGGATAGCGAACAGTACGAAGAGAACTATAGAAATCATGCTGCAGGGAATTGAGGGAAGTGATGAATATTAAACTCAGGTGTTTAACACTTGCATTGATTTGCATTTTTTCGGACATAGATTTTCAAAGCACACTAGTGCTAGCTGCCTAAGCAAAAGGCTTTCTGAAGGAAACCAGCACATATTTTCTTGTTGATATTACTAACAATAATATCATTCTGAAAGTCTGAATTTGTGTAAGTCAATAAATAAGTTTAGATTACAGTCAGAAACATACTTTTTTGGAGGGGAGAGGGGAATAATGACTCAATTACAAGAACTATATTTTACACAATGGTAGGGGCATACACAACAGTTGCTTATCTCAGAACATCATTAATTTCTTTGGTCACCACACAAATTTGTGAGAAAAAATTACAAACTCAAAGAGTTTTAAAATTCAAAATATTTAATACTATATTGAAACAGCAGCTTAAATAGGACTGAAATATTATAACAGCCTACTCAGATGTATAGAACACATGCCAACAAAATGTTGAAATACTAATAAATAAGATGATCAAAACATTTTTAAACACATTTCTTGCGAAATAAAATGTTTATAGTTTGCTTAAATGCTTGAATTCAGGGATCAGCACAGAATATAATGACTGCTCACCATCATTCATGCGAATTTTCCCTGTGAGAAGGCCTAACTATAGCTTGATTCATTAAAATGATATTTTCAAGTAAATCAGAGTTCAATAAATATCTGTATGCCAACAACAGTCTTCTAAGGAATTAAAAAATCAAAGACACATAAAGCATACCAAATAAAATGTTACGACTACTACATAAGAACACTGAAAAATTCTAAAACAATTCTTTTAAACTACAAATGCACAAGCTTCTTAATTATAAACAATGCTATTAAGTATTAAATCACTCTAAATGGCCATAAAAATCAAACCTATGGCAACTAACAAACTTAATTTTCCAAATTGAGCAGTGTCCTTGAAAGACAGGACAATAGTTTTTATTTCTGAGCCAGCTCAGTTCTACAGTGATCAGAGATCTTCCCGACTCTTCCAGGAGTTTATCAATACAGATACTATTAGGTTTTAACAATGACATCTAGCAACTCAGTTGATTTCTTCAGGAATAAACCAAAACATAATTTTTACATTCAATTCAGAATTAAATTACACTTAAAATAACAAAGGATTATGTGCCAAGTCCTTAATAACATCAAAGAAATTAATCTAAAAAAGTAAGTTTTATTAAAATGTCTATATAAATGCAATAAAAATATGCACATGAATGGATAGATGCATTCCTAAATGGTTCATTTTGAAAGAACATGTTTAATCACAGCATATAAATAATCACCACATTCACAGGCACTAAATGCAACTCAGATCAACAGTCTTTAAGGAATTAGTTCTTAGAAAAACATTTTCCATATACTAAACTCAATACTTAACTAAATATGAATACTCGCTGAAACATAAACTGATACTTTCATAAAGATTAGTTCCTTAAGAAGATTAACAAAAAATTATGAGACATTTATGAACAAAATCAACAATAAATTGGAACAGCAGCAATTGTATCCTGTAAAATACAACGTATACACCTGTTTACTTGAACTTATAAATGATCATTTGCGTGAATATTATGCTAATGATTTATGTTAAGTAGAAATTGCATTTAAAAATTGAAAGCTTAACACACACACACACACTGCTTGGTATATAAAAAATGAAATAAGTATTCATAACATTTCAAGTTTTACTCTGTCCCTATTCTCAGCCAGAAGCAAGCTAATTCTGATAAATGGTTACTAAATTATTCCACATTGATACCATTATTATTTTAGAATTACACACTAAAATTATACATAGCTCTATAACCAAATTAAAAATTACCACCTGTTACATAATAACATCTGAAATATTGTGAATGGTAGCAATTAAATTACCAATTACTAGTAAAACTAAAAGCTGTGCTTTCAAATCATTCATCAAACATTTCAATGTCTACATAATTCACATACATATTTCAGGAGGTTCTGCAAGTATCCGTGGCAATAACTTTCACCTTAATTTTTTTTCATATATCTTGCCAAAAAAGTACAAGTGACATGTTGCAAAAACAGATTATTGAGAACACTGCAACAAACTACAATTCTTATTGTTGTAAGAAACTTATATAACTCACAATCTTTTGATCTAAAAAAATAAAAAGTTTAACTCAGAATTTGATACTTCGAAACAGCATTTCTTAAACTTTTAGATAAGTGGAACCCTTCCTAATGCCCTCTTTTATCATGGAATCCTTGGTTAGCTTCAAAAGTATGGTTTTAATGCAACATTCTGTAAATGAATTGTTTGCAAGAAAAATAACAATTACTTTAAATAATATTTATTTGCTTCAAAAAGTAATTTTGAAATTAGCCCAAAAGTTCTTAAAATAACATATTCAAACAGGTCTTTTAAATTAAATTTAAAATGAGATGAGTGGTATTCCCTTTATTGCAGATATATTTAATATTAGAATTTATGGATAAAAGTTGGACTCATTGGTCAAATTTAGTATCAAATCTGTTGCAGTATTTAATATATATGCTGAACCTCTGATGTGGAGCTACTGTGTCATTTGAAAAGGTGAGAACTTAGCTACTACTTTTTTTTTTTTTCATCTAATGTACATTTTAAAATTTCCACAGTAAAAGGTTTACTAAGATTTTCTGAGTATGCTTCACCACTGTTAGAAATGCTACTTATGAGTCTTTACTTATTCAAGTGCAGGAATCTGGCAACATAAATTGTATTTATAAATTTGCAATTCTGTTTTAGCTTCGTGTATATTCAGATCACAACTAGGCATTTTTAGAACATGTTTTTTTTATGTTAAATCCCTTTATTAGTTGTAAATAAATGTTTATCTTTTAATATTGTGCGATTTGAAGCTTGATTTTACAATGGCATTGAGCTTTCTGACAGCTGACTAAGTACAAAGCCTCAGTTGCTTTTTCATTCACTTTTGTAGTTTGAACCACACACTTTTACGAGTTTGTCACACTTTTAAATGAAGAATTCAACTTTTTTCTTTACATCACTATGAAACGATTCCAAATGACACATTTTAGATGGAGCCATACAGCTATTAGGGAGAACTTAGCTGTATGTAATACACTGATCATTAGTATTAATGTACATGAACCCTAATGAGATCTAACTTTCATCCACATAACATTCATTATTTCCTAGTATTTTAGTAACCACTCCGAGTTGATCACTTATAGAAGCATTCAGTAGCCTAATTTCTTTTGAGGCAATATTTTATTTGTATCACTCTAATTACCTTTAGCAAAAGAGCTGGTTATTGAGCCTAAAACAGAAGCATCAAGTTCTGCAGTAGTACACTTTAGAATGCCTCTTTTTAAGACACCTCTCTAGTCACCACACATCTAAATATCGAAAAGTATTTTAAGACCACAAATACAATGAATGACAGGTATCTTTTAAGGACGAGTGAAGTTTACGCAGTTACTTATATCAGCAACATTGTTAACAGTGGAACATAAAACACAAACTATAAATATAATTTTTAGGTTTTAAGACATTAAATGCAGAACATAACAGCCCTTCTGCATCTGCTCTGGATACCATGGTATTTAATAAACAACAGCGACTCACCAAGCAAACTTTAACACCTGCTGTGGATGATGTGAAAGGAGAATATACGAGTTAGAAGGTGCGTGTGATAGAATATAACTATGTGGATTCTTCTTGTATGTAATATATCTTTGTTATCATGGTTGGATTTCCCTATAATTTACATTATGCCCAAGATGTTTTTTTCTAATCTTATGGAAAAGTATGTGTGATGTAATGTTATAAGAACCAATAAAGATTATCAATATGCACAAAAAAAAGATCAAAACATATTTTATAAGACACACATCAATAAGTGACTATTATGCCTGGCTACTCACACACTTTCACATTCAAGTATATGAGATTCCCCTGAAACCGAGGAATTTCACATGTGTAGCAATCAATAAAGAAATGAGCTCGGAAGTCACTCCCACCAGAAATACACCTGATTCCTCAGTGCAGCTGCAGTAAAATACTGTTCTGATGGAGCCACTGCAACTTGCCACGTTGGACTGTTGTATTTGCATACATCAAGATTAGTAAAGGGGAAGTGAGGGTTAATTCTTATTCTATTTTTTAAAAAAAATTTACAGCTGTTAATTTTCTTTGCTTTTTTTAGTTGCTTTTGTTGAATGTTATGAAAAAAAGTACCCTTGAAACCTTGAGCGTCCAAAGATACCCGAGTTCCATGAAACACATGAGTTTAAGAAACACTGCTCTAAACCAATGCATGGATTTCTATAAATTCTTCAAATGAAATTTATAATTCAACTAATCAGAAATAGCTTTAATTATGTTCTTCTTGTTGTCCAGTTTAAGATACACAATGCAATACTAAAATTGAACGCAGGATGCTTAAATTTCAATTGAGTCTAAAATGACAGAAAACAAACTACTTAACAAGATGCATAAATGAAAATAAAAAATAACATGAGCATTAGATGCAACAATTAAACAGTATTAAAGTATTTTGAAGTAATTCAAGATAATATTTAGAAACTGCAGGTTATTTGATAAAAAGGAAATATGTATGAGATCAGAATAACAAATGTGTTAAGCACATCATTTCTTTTACAAACATTTGTGAATATTTCCTATAACAGCTATGTGATTAAAAAGTGTTTCATACAACTGTTAAAAACATAGGACATTACTAATTAAAAACTTATTAAAAAACAAAACAGCATTCAAAAGTATGCTTTTTTTTAAACACTAGACATTTTTCTATAAATTAAAATTATTATTCTTGCTCTCATAGTAAACATTTCCTACACGTCAGTACATTTTATGATGCACTACCATTCAATACAAAATAAAAAATCACACAAAACAAAGAAATTCTTGACACGTTATATGACATTCACACTTAAACAGCTGCTGCAAATATTTTTTTAAATTAAAAATGTGAACAAATTTCAGATAACATTTATAAATTTTCAAGATACTGATTTTGTGTGTGGGGGGAGAACAATTAAAAATTACACATACAGAATAAAATACAAAAGAAAAAGAAAAAAAATAACTCTAGAAAGACTAGCAGAATATACAGGCAGATTTAGAAGAAAGTCATTCATACCAGCATAAACTACAAGTTACTGGAAAGTTAACCTATCTAGCTGAACACTTAATGTCACAATAATTACAGTACAAAAAGAACACTGATATTTGATGAATAAAAAAGGAAACAGCAGGCATTTACAAGACCAAATCTCCATTTGTCTCATCTTCATCGCCATAATCATCAGCTAAAAGTATAAAAAGATAACAGAAACTTTTAATAATTTGAGAAAATTATTCACTAACAATAGCATTACAACATGCTTTAATTGAAGACATCAGTAGCACTGATAAATAATTACTCACAGAATTCTGATAGCAAAATTATTTGCATTTACATCTGAATATGATAAAAATTTCCATCTTGTCTCTTTGAAAAGAAACTGATTGTCCATTCATGAATTCTTCACTTATTTTTTTTTATATGTCAACAGAACTTTATTACATCAAATTTCATTAACATAAGGGTTCATTTGGAATCTAGCTATCAGAATCCTTTATTTATACATAATTTATCTTATGTCAAGATGAGACTCTGTAGTTAAAGGAAATTTTACAGCAGTCACATTTAGTCTTATAATTGAAAATTCTCTTCCTGAAGAACAAGAAAAATCAGATTAAAAATTGGTTTGTAAACCTTGGCACTAAATATGAATGCCTTTAGCTAGAGCCTTTAATCCATCATAAAGTGAATTTCAGAAAATTGAGTCATATTAATATTAAGACTTTCCTCAATACATATAAAATGGCATCCAACTCAGAACATAAGAATAAAAACATTCTGACTTCTTAATAATACTGAAAATGCAATATGTTATTACCTTTACGACCTTTGTTGACTCCTTTATGACCACCATGGCCAGAACCTTTGTGGCATGGTTTAGTGATCTTTTTATTTGGTTCACAAACTTGAGGATTTCCACTTTTTAAAACTAGAACTTTGGTCTTCTTACCAGTTGCAGGATCACATTCACCCCAGAGAGCTTGTTTATTGTATTTGCATACTTAAAAAATAAGGAAAAAATTATGAAAGTATGTTTACGTGTATACATAAAATTAATTTAATAATTTAACCCACACTAATTACTTTGCTTTAAATTACTGCAATTGAAGATGATACATTATTCTAAATTAAATCTGAAATTGCCACATTAAGCATATGCAATGCTTAATTATAGGGTGAAATTTCAGTACATTCTGAAACATATCTGCTGCAATCTCAGCGATTACACCTCATTAATTGCTGGCTGAAAATATTACAAAGCAAGTGTATGAATAAAAGCCAAACCGGTTTGCAAATTCAGGTCATAATGAATGCTAAAACACATTACATTTCTTTATAAATTTCTCATACATAAAGTTCAGCATGGATAATTTATTTAGAATTTCATACTTATTTATACATAACCTCACTGCTGGCTAACAAAACTTGGTGCTAAGGCATGTCACATTGTGCTAGGAATTACCGTTTAGAAATGCTAGTAAAAAGTTACTGATTTATTTAATTTAAAAAAAGATATTTTTAACTAATTTCAAACATAAGAAAATGAGTGCTCAATAAAATTTCTAAATAAAAACTAGCCAAATATTTTTTTCACACAGTCTCTGGCTTTTGAGTAAAGCAAAACATTTGCTTTTCTTCAATTATATCCATGGAATAAACAAAAACATTAACTGCCCACCTATTTTCAGAACACTCACAATTCGTTTGAGAAAGTTTTAGCATGCTTACATACGAGTTCTTGTTTCTAATATCTAAATTTAACATTTGAGCTGAACATTATTTTGTATTCATTCTGTAAAAAATATACTATTTAGCACTTACGTCTTTTAAACACTTGCAATCTTTAAGAATCATTTATAATTACCAAGAATATCATAATAAAAGCATCAACATTTTATTATAAAATTTAACAATATTTCAACTTTTATACTGAAGCTAATGTTACTGTCCTAGTTTTCCCACTAGCTAAAGAAGACAAAATCTCATCAATCATGATACATTAAGTTTCACATTATTATTCACTGCAGAAATTTTCCCCTGAATTCAAACCCGCAGTATTGAAGGCAGAAAAAAGAAGTCTCATACTTATAGCAGAGAGCAGTAAAATGGTTATTATTCCTTACTAAACACATATTAACTTGAATTTAGTAGAAGTGATTAACCTCCAATCCCTAGCCATCCTACTTACAGCCAACTTGTAAGTGCTTTAAAACTTTGTAAGAGGTTTAGTTTTTGAATGTAATGATTTAAAATCCTTTAGTAGTATTTTAATTAAAAAAAAAGGTCATTTTCCATATTCTCTTATTTGCTATAGCTTGTAACTTGAGAATACACACAAGGGTTTGCAAGGACCTTTTTCATTTCTCCAATTTTTAAATTCGATTAGAAATACTCTTTACAGGGATTCAGTGTCACAAATGCTATGACAAGAGTCTTGGATGTGAATTTAATCTACTATGTTTCACAGTACTCTCCCTCGAAGTGCAATTTAACTTATGAGTTATTTATTTAAGGTCTGCAATGAGCTGATACAGAGCAGTTCAGTGTTTTAATATGCATCTACAGCAGTTGAAGTGCATTATTTCCTGATCAAGCATTATTTTAGTCATGGCCACGCACAGAATGTTAATAGTTGTAGAGATCATAAATCACTGTCTTACAATCTGTAAAGGATGAGAAAACTGTCTGAGAATGATTATTACAAAGTCTGAGAAAAACAAATCTTTCCAAATAATTACTAACAAAACAGGAGGAAAAAGCTACTGGAATATTCAAAGCTTTTCTCGAATCTGAGGATGAATTTGCAACTATTGATAACCTTCAAAAAACTGTGCAATCAAAAAAAGGTAAATTATGTCAAATTTGCAATAAAAAAATGACATATTGCTAAATTATGTCAAAAGCACTTTATTTATACATACTTAATGTGAATGGAATTGTCTCTAAATATCTGAGTTCATTTTATTGTATTGTTGTTTTGTGTATTGTTACATTATGTACTGTATTTATTTAACTATGTTTATTTCTTGAACAGAACAGTAAAACTTATGATTCTGAATCCAACAATTTTTAAACTGTGAAAATAGTTCAAGTAGAATCTGATGTAGAGGCAGAAATTCTCCTGATGTGCCTTTGCAACATTTGGCACCTCTGTGGGGGAAAAAAGGGAGAGGGGGAGCATTTTTGAAGCTCTAGAATAAATTTTTCCTGAAGCTTCCAAAAAGCCATGCAACATTATATCAATACAGCTCTTGACAGCCAGTAGTCAGTGTCCTGTTCCGAGTTATTTCAGAGATTAGTGCAGTTCAGAATAAGCCAAGTTTACAATGTGAGTGATATTAAGATATTTCTTGAATGTTGTGGAGAATTTTCCTTATATTTATCTGCATTCTTGAGTTCTTTAATGTTAGCTTTGTTGTGTATTCTTATCCACCGCAATAACTTCTCAGTTTCTTCCCACTCAAGTGGAGCAATTTATTTGAAGATATCTCCACGAATCTGTAGTAATATGAATGTACTTGCCCAGGTACTTTTCTGTTAAAACTATACCACTCAGCACCTTTGTTCTGGCCTATTTTCTGGTGCCAGGTGTTACAATTTGATTTAGCTTCTTTCCTGTAGATAATTGCCTTGATAATCATTATTCACAATGGATTTCAGGGGATTCTGCATCACTTGGGATTTGTAGAGAGATGATTAAGTGGAAGAAATACGACTGCCTCTTTTCTAGTGTTCACAAAAAAAAAGACTGTATCTGAAATGACATTAAAATGCAACTGAAAGCCAAAATGGCTATGCAGCCCTCATTTCTGCTGGGCAAAAAATATGTTCCAAACACAAAATTTGTTGAAACACACAATGCTTTTGTTACTGCTGCAAGATTCATTCACTTAAAGTGTCAGATGTTAATGTACATTGACGTTTGCTAACCAAAGCTTATTTTAAGTTAATCAAAACACAATGGTTGGTTGAATAATTACATGACAGAAGTATGTGCCAATTTCTCATTGTCTTAGCCTAATTTTAAAAAATCAATGGATGCAAGAAAACTATGGAAAGTGATGAAAACTTATTCCCACATGCACCCCCCAAAAGTCCTCAATTTCCTTCACAATGGGTTTTGGACAATTCTATCCAGAAAGCAGAGAATGTTTCCTAGTTGTGTTCTTAATCATTCCAGTTCATCGAGCATAGAGCCAAAGGCATGTAGAAAGAAATAAGCAAAAATGCTCAGCAGGGTTTTAATGGAAATGTACCCTCACAACTTAATATTAGTACAGTTAAATTCCAGAAATCCGCAAAGCTTGGGACCAGAGGTTGTGCGGATTTTAGGACAGAAAAGAAAGCATAATATTCGGACTAAAAGTGCAAAATGAATAAGGCATATTAGATACATTTAATTAAATTATTATATACATTATTGCAATAATTTATTATATGCATTAAATTATTATTACATATATAAAATTATTATACTATTCATTGTATTATATGCACACAGCATTGAGGTTTGCCGATTTCGCCTCATGCAAAGATTTTTGGATTCGGGTGTTAGAATCACTGTTGCTGTAAAATTTAAACGGTTTTTCTTTATTTTTTTTTTATTGTGTATATTATACACAATTGTGTTGCAATTCCATACCATTCTGCTATAAATCGAGGAGTAGCCCCTGCTTCAATCTTTTGCAGAATTTGCACTTTTTGCGTTACCGTCAATGCAACGAGTTTACGTTTTTCAACGTTGCAAGGAGTAAAATCACGAGTGCGTTTCTTATCTGTCATTGTATTAAAAAGGGCTGAAATTTAAAATATTCTTAATTTGTCCACAAAATATCCGGATAAAAAAAAGGCAGCGCTAAACAATCTCGTGAAATGAAATAACAAAGCTCAGAAAATACAACAACGTGAATCATGAACTTGAACAAAGAGTTGAGTGAATCGTCTGCTTTTTTACCTCGATGCAGATTAGAGGGGGAAAAACTTATTTATTTTATCTTATTTTTTTAAAACTTATTTACATCAATAATTTGGTATTTTCGTTTTGACTCATTATTATTCGGTAATTATGACATCATTATTCGGTTAAGTATTTTTTTTCTTCCATATTTCGTACTCAATGTTACGGTTTCCGAAACCTATAAACTGAATGTTTATATTCTGAGAGGCAATCCGGATTTTTGGTATTTGACTGCACTACCATAATATATTCATCTAAGCATGCATAATAGCATAAGAATTTCCAAATCTAAGTTTTCCTGTGTTTTAAAAGATTTGACGTACTGTAATATAAACACTGATGAAACATGGAGACAGTTGATAATCAAGAAATTTTTTACTGTAATTACAGTGAAACATGGCAGTTGCAAACACTACATGTCCATCATACAAAATTTTGAATGCCTGGCTCTTCAGCTCCCAGCTCACCTGAAGAGCCAGGCGTTAAAAGAGAAAGAATTCAAAGAAAAAATTTAAAAGAGAAAGAATTTTCTGAGCTTGTCATGGAATAAAATATTTTCCCAAGAGGATGGATGCTACTATCACACTGTTTTACTCTTATTGAAAACCTGATCTTTAATACTATTGGATGTATGATTACAGTTTTTAATGTTATGAAAGCCTGTGTATCAGGAGCATCACACAACAAGCAGAAATTATAAATTAAGAAAAATGTTTCAAATTAGAAACAAAAATAAAAATATATTATTTTTAGGATAGAAAGATAATTGTGTTAAAGAAAAAACACTTGGGCTTTCTGAATAATTCTTTAGTTGAATCAAATGAAAGCTTTCGAAAGCTTTCAGAAAATAGCCCAAGACTGCCACTTAACCGCTGCCAAGAAGTGAACAATTTATTGCATAAAAATACTTAAGGACTGGCCTTAGGAAGATACACATTCATACAGAACTTTCTAAACTGGCTTCTACCGGATTGGATTCTGGATTTAATAGCACATATTGTCACAGGGTCATAATGTGCCAAACAAGTGGTAATTTGAGTTCAGCTTGTTATTAAAACATAATATTTTGATGAGAATTCAATATACAGACAAACAAAAGAACGAAAGTACAAAAACAGGTAAAACCTCAATTATACATTATAAAAGTATACAGAACTTGCTCATTTTATGTTCAACAGACTAATGAAATTCTCAGAATGAATGCAATTATAAAACCAGATAAAATTCCAGTACATAAGATAAATCACTTAGTTAGTAAATGAACCACACTAAAACAAATTCAGATTAAATTATTCAATTAGGCCTTTTAGATACTGAAATAAATTTGAATTCACCTTTTTTTCAACTAGGTCAGTAGGTAGGTCACAGATATTAAATACAGCAATTAAAAAGTTTTGTACAGGCAGAATCACTTTACAAATGGAAGAAATAGGTTCATGATCAACTTTCAGACGGTAATAATACGTAAATCAAGAGTGACTGATTTTAAGGTGAGTTAATAAGTCATAGTTTCTAGCAGACTCCCAATATTCTACTCTAGATTTCACATTTCTCAACTTAATATGAAAGCGAATGTCCCCATCTGTTCCATGATTTTTTTGTTTGACGACCCTGATATCTCTAAGAATTATAATCTGACTAGTTAACTCAAAAGTAGACTTTGTAGTGATGCCTGCTAGATCATTTCCTTTTGTCTTTACATACCTGAGAACCCAACAGTAAAGGATTTGGGACCTATGGCTTTTCAAGTTTACATTTAATGTTACAATATCAAGTAACACAGAATTCAGGGTATTAGAAAATTATTATAAAGCTTTTAATACATTAATGAATCAGTAAACTTTCTCCTGCATATAAATACGGAAATATAACTGATGTATTGATACATGTGGAAGAAAAAGCTACCCTCTAATACACTCATTAGTACCTCTTTTGTTAGGATATTAGAAAACATCAAGAAGCCTAATCTGTGCATTCTTTCAAGGTGGAATTACAAAATGCGTTACTGCCTGGGTAACAACATATATCACATGGATTTCTTTAATCAATGAGTGAACCCTTAGAGACCCAACAAGATACCATAAAGATGGTCCAGCCTCAAACCAGACATTGCACCTCAGAGTCATCAAGAAAAGCAACTTTATTAAGATAGTCAGATAGCAAAAGTACATCAAAATAATAGCAAAGAAACAATTGCTCATGTCTTGACTGTAGATGGCTAGTTAGTTGCTTTTCATGACACATAACTTCTAAAAGATTACAGAGTGCCAGATGTGATCAAATTATAATCGTTCAAAGTGATAATAATAATGAAAGAATATAAAATTATACTGATAACAATTTTATGAAACAAAAAAACCGCAAATTTTAAAATAAAGCTAAAATCAAACATTGATTGATACCGATTAATGAGGTGATGAAAAGATGAATGCAACTCACAAGATGGAGGGTGGGATATGGGACTATGTAAAATCTTCTACTTGAAACATATTTAATATATTTTGTTATTTTAAAATCACGTATTAAATACTCAATTTCTTTAAAAAAATTAACCCTTTTGCGATTAAACAATCAAGAGGTAAGTCAGAATTGTTAAAACAACTAAAATGAAGTCTCATAAAATAAAAGCTTTCTATTAAAAATGTGATGAATGGTTTGCAAAAATTAACATAGATGCTGGGGTAGTTTATATTAATATTACAGATGGAACCTCTCTTTTGTACATAAATAAACATAAATACAAGCATTTTCTAATAATATAAAAATTCAAATATACCTTTTTTGCACTTTTTTGATATTGTTCTTGTAGGCTGACATGAGGAATCACTTTTTGGTTTTAAGTTATCAATACGTGTTCTCATATTTGTACTAATTTCACAGTCACTCCAACCACCTTTTTCATACTTGCAAGCTAAAATAAGATATAAAATACTGAATTAAAAAACTAGACACATAGAAATAATGTTCTCCTTTGCTTGAGGGTGGGAGGTGAGAACTAAAAATAATGCTTTGCATCATATTTAGGTATAATGAAACGTGGTTGGAATGTTCGAAGTTACAAATTAATTTCCAATATATACAGAATATTAATGCTAATTACATTCATTATGAATTCTTCCTAGCAAGATAAATAAAAACTGTAAAAAGCTCAGTTACTGAGACACAGCATACAAAAAAGCATTAAATTATACATTATGATACCTCATTTTTATTTTCTTTGGTATCTTCTTAAGTAATTTTTATGCTTTTAAGAAAAAGAAAAAATAAATACACTGCTCACAAACTCCCCCCAAAAAGTAACGATTTTCTTAAACTCCTAGGCAAATTTGCTATATGCACTTTGATTCATAATGCTGCAAAATGGGCTAGAATTGACATTTTATGGTTTATTAAAACATTTCTCCGTTCTTAAGTTTTTAAGCTTTCGTTTTTCCTTACTATCCATTTTTAACTGCAAAAGAATTGATTCTTTCTGATTACCTGCACCCCCGAAAATGCATTCTCAAAGCCACACATTATATCACAAAAATATATTTATGTGGCAAAGTAGGTATGTGCGGTTTTCTTCTTGTGTTTCTCTTTGCTGCAATGAGTAAATTTTTTTTCCTTGTAAGGAACTGTGAAGTTTGTCAGCTGATGAAGAAGTGCTATGTTTCTTCAAAAATACGATGTGCAAAAAAATTACATAAGAATTTTTTGAAAATAGAGTATTTTATTACATTTTGTGTTTTTTTTTCTTTCCAAATTTTACTGATGCATAGCTCTTTTATGGAATTTTTATTGCGTGACTATTTTCAGAATGGTTGTTGACTTTTGGGTATTAACTTGCCCCCAAATTAGTCCCTAATGAGTTGTCAACTTTTTGGAGGCGTGCAGATGATCAGAAGGTACCAAAAAAATGTCTGTTTTTTTTTTCAAGAGTCTACCACTAATATTTGCTTGGAATGTAAACAAAGCAACTAAAAAGTTGCACACAAATAAATCTTTACCACATGCCATAAAATTTTAAAATTAACCACAATTAAAAATTTGAGGAGGAGAATACGCACCCAAAATCTAAGAATCAACTAAGTTAGCTAATTTTTTTTATCTCATAAGAATACAATTTCAAACTGTACAAGAGGAACACAGTAACTTGAATGGAAGAGGGGAGCAACCAAAGGCAAAAACTGACATAATGTTACAGACTGAAAATAAATACTGGTTTTAAATTTAAAACTTTGATGGTATACCTACCTCTCCCACGGATCATTCATAGAAACCACTAATTATTCTCTAATCCTGAAATTTGTTTTTGATTTTGTATTTAAATATTTTAAAAAATTACACCCATGTATGTAAATAATTAAAATTTCACTGATAAGTGAAACTGAACATATCAGGAGAGTGCTAATTAAGCTAGTTCTCAATAATATAAGGCATCATGAGCAATAGCATACCTAGGTTACCACACCCCATCTGACAGTCTATTATTGTTTTTTAAAATCAGGAAGTTAGTCTCACTAGTTAAATACCTTAAATCATTCAGCTATACAAAATATGTGAACAGATTCATTTCATAATAACCATTATTACTAATTATTTATTGAAAAATTTATTTAACAGTTATTTATGAATTTATTTGCAGCCAAATCCCAGCAGTTTAGCTGCCCACAGATTTTATGCTCTGCCTTTTCCAAGAAAATTGAAGTCTTTGAGAAACATTTAATCTGAATATTTTTTATGCTTTAGAATGCCTTTTATGTTGAGTAAATAGTAAAATTCCTAAAATCACTTATGTTTATGCAGTATAAATTTTCTACAATTCAGTTGCATGCCAGAATAATGCCAATGCAGTTCGATCCATGAAGGTAAAGCAAAATGCAAATATGGTTTTCGGTAATGTTTTTCATAATCACACAGATTTTATTTGCCACAGGTCACTTCATCAAACAAAATTGCAACAAAAGGTATTAGATATTTTTAATATGATATTGTTAGTAATTATACTATCATGAATAAATTCATTGCTTACTTCAGGTGGCATACTTTTAAAACACAGTACATATTTAAATAACTAAAACTGGATCACAAGTAGTTAAAACTTCCAACATACATGAATTTGAGTTTCAGATCCTCTATGACTTAAAACTACATTCTTGTTTCCTGCAAATTAACTACAAATACATCACAATAAAACTAGTACAAATGAACTACAAATTTGTATTAGTTTTATTGCGATATTGATGATGTTATATAAATTTGTGCAGTCAAAACTCGTTAATTCGAACACCCATAATCCGGAATGATCTATAATCCGGACCTCAAAGTTACAAACTTTCTGCGCATGCGTCGCGTTGACGAACCACTAAGACGTAAGACCTTTACCACTGCGAATTTGCGTGTGCGCAAAATACGTTTACGAATGCGCGTTTAATGTATAACGGACGGGATAAGCTAAGCTAAAATTATCTAATTATCTATTTCATTTAATGTTACAGATTGCGTTGTTCCTTAATCTTCGAATTGGATCTGGATTATTATTTTTTGCAGACTGTTACAGCAATTTTATAGAAAGTAAGCATGAACTTTCGATTATGTCAAATAGAATTTCCGATATATATTTACTAATATGTAAAGGATCTACAAAGCGAAAGTAATGTTTCGGAGTCCATTAAACAAAAAGTGGAATTGCTGCAAAAAATGGATAAAGGCATATCCTTTGTTTATCTAAACTTTAACGTTTGTTTATCTAAACTTTGTTTATCTTTAACGCCATGGCGGCGTGCAATGAATTGGAAGTTGATCTGTCAGCACTATCCTTATCTTAAGGGCAGATGTTTTTATTTTATTTGGCTTATAATTGCTTACTCAATGTAGTATTTCGTCTTTGATATGATTTAAATCAAATGCCTCGTCATTATAATTCGCTTCCGATAGCGAAGAAAGTAACAGAGGTTATTGAAAACGAAAAAATTTCGATTGACAAATTAGTCGGTATTCTCGACACAGCAATTATAGGACTTGAACAGCGGAACTTTGTAACTGAACAAGAAATTGTCTGTTTATAGAATTAAAGAGAATGTATTATCACATAAAAAACAAAGCAACTTAAACAACTTACATTGAAAGAAATGTTTAATAAAGTAAACAAATAAATATTAAGCTTTTTTTTTGTTTTTGTAAATTTTGATACCCTTTAGATCATAATTGTTCTTTATTTCATAAATTACGGTTTCATATTTTTAATTTTATAATTTCTGCATGCCATTTTACCAGATTTAATTTGATGATCTATAATCCGGAATCGCCGAAGTCCCGACGAGTCCGGATTAACGACTTTTGACTGTATTACAAATACAGTACAAATACGTATACACATCAGGAGGGGATTATTCATCAACAGATTTGTTTATAATTGACTGACGAGTACCCATTAACAGTACTGATTTTCTATAAGTTCACAGCTACTCTAGCTAAGCTGGAATACATGCCACGGAGCATATCACACAGCTCTTCTTCATTATCATTTTTGATTTTATACCAGTCTGAATTCATTGCCAACTATTTTAAATGCTTTAATACATATACATGAATCTTTTAAATAAAAAACTCAAGTTTTCATAAAAAATACCTAATCAATTAAATACTCTAAAATGACAAGCATAATTTTATATGAGAAATAAGAATTTTTTTTCTAAAATGTACACATAATCCAAGATTATTATTTTTTAAAATATAAATAAAGGGAAATAAAATGATGCTACACAGTGTATATTAAAACAAAGAAAAAATTCTGAGGACTATTCTAAAAAAGTGCTCATGTAATTTTTATAAAACTCGCAACTTTGGGCTAATTTTATATACAGAATTGAACTATGAAAACAAAAAGCAAATCATTTTAGAAAAGTTCAGTTCATGCAGTGCTAGTCATTAACTGAATATATAACTTTATTAACCTTTCAAAGACACGAGAAATGCATTTTAAATCCATTTAAGCCAACTAGTATGTGAGATACAGAGCTGCTGGTCCTTTTTTCCCCTCCACACAGCAACTGCTTTAGACTTTAAAAATTAGCTTATATAATTACCTGTATATAATTTTTAATTAGTAATTTTATCAAGCACCATTTACCAAATTAGCCTTTAATTCTGCATATCACATGCTTGAAACACTGTATAATATTGCTTTCCAAGTGGTGCAAGAGGACTTTTAGTAACTCCCCGATTTTACAAAACAGCACAATTCTTGAAGAATCTCTAGACAGAAATATGTATATGTAACTCTTTAAATTTACTAAATTTTAATGAGAAAGTATTACAATTTCCATTGAAGGTTAACTGAAAGCATATGCTTTGCAATACATTATTATAAAAAATTATATTTAAATCTGCATTCTCACATCAGTTAACATACTCTTGTTGACAAAGATAAGCAAGAAAATGTCAAGAACAACTAAGGCTTATCTTCTTAAGGGATCAGGGTTCGTACACATTTCTGCAGACGGAAATTAAGTATTTTTGAGGACCATTAATGAAAAAAATTAAGGACCTATGAGCAAATGGGAACTGAATAAATTCAATTAAAAATATTATCTATGCCTGAATTTCACTTTTGTAATACCATTCTAAAAAGAAACTAGATCCCTAAATAGTATGCATTATTACTAAACATGAATTAATATAATTATTAATAAGTTTGAGAACAAAATAAACTTTATGCAATTTATCAAGTAGCATTAAATATTCTACACTTATAATAGTTGGACATATTTGAAAGAAGTGACATTTACATTTTATTAACAGTTAGCTTTATGCTGATTTTTTTACTCTCATTTTGTCGCATACTTGATCAGTCTAGAGGTTTAGCAAATAGCAAATAGATTTTATGTCAAATGCCATATGTTAAAATGAGAAGTAAGATCATAATCAGCATAACAAAAGACTGAATGTTGTCACCACTGTTGCTTGTCTAGAGAGAGACCAGCCGATTAGAACAAACCTGAAAGGCCTGATGTAGGCACGGTTGGCAAGTATTGAATGTTATAGTTAGGTTCTGTTTAATGCTGTTAGTGTAATAGCTTTGTGTAGAGTTCCAGGGGTTGTAACCCAGTTAATATACTTTAAGGTTCCAATAAGCCATTATGTTATATGTTGTTTATCATTTTAAGTTTCACTACATGCAAAGAATAAGTTTTACTTGAATTTTTATATTTTTGTGTTTTATCCTGTGACCACAGTGAGTGTTAATGAAAGGCAATAACTCGCTTTAATATGAAGAGATAATTTTTAAGGGTAAGCAGTTATAAATAATTAGATAACCTTAGTCATTATGGATTTACAAGGACACTATTAAATTTTATTTTTTAACAATATTTGTTAAAAAAAGCCCTATTAAAATCTAATAAAATTTCACAGTTTAAAATACATGTAATTTAGGACATTGATTCTTAAACAATAAGATGATTACACATTAAAAGCTACAAAACATTTATGTTTTGTAACAATAACACTCAACAAAATATTTATCCATCATTTTAATTTGAAGCCTTCCCAAACATTTTGGCTAGTTATCCTTCTCTTTAAGTATCTTTTCTAACAATTAGAGAGTCTCAATTTGCAAACCAATGCTCTCACTAGTTTCTGCAAGCTTTATCTCCTAACTTGTCAACCTCTCCACAATGTACCTATGAGGAATTACTTGATCTGGTAAATGTTAAATAGTCCCAAACACCCCTGACAGACTTGAAGCAAATTATTACTATGTCTGAAAGTAACTACAATATCAGGCAAAGGTTTAAATAAGCCTCTTATTTAAAAAGTACTCAGAACATAAAGGCATATTCTGATGCTAACAAAATCAATTACAGCTCACGGTCACGTAATTAAACAAGAACAGCCAAATTCAAACTAAAAATGTGGTCTAGTAGTCAAAGATTATACAATTTAATCTGGTTCAGTAATTCTATCATATGAGGAAATAGAAATGGGAAATTATAGTAAAGACTGAAATCATTAACAACTGGGTAATTTACATAATAAATTTGAATAATTTTCTTTATGTATTCAGTTTCTTTCTTCAACACATTTCCTTTTCATTTTTAGAATTTTTGGATTTAATTAAAGATTTCTGTTATCCTAAAAAACACTGAATGCATTTAGAATGTATAGAAAAAGTGGCTAATTTTATTGTAGTAATATGAACATTTAGAAGAAAGATGAAATAGATATGGTAAAGGGCGGTTACAGAGCTGGTGTGGCAGAATTTTTAGAATTTAGTTACATACAGAACAACAAAATCTAGAAATGGCAAAACTTTTAGAATTTAGAGCAGGCACTGGAAGCAGAATTTAGAAAGGCACTATGCAGCAGAATTTATGATCTACAGAGATTGCATTAGGTAGGAAAATGGCTGGCACCAACTCTGTGTATGATGCATTAAGACATATTAGATAAATGTTTTAAATTTTAAGTTTTCAGTTTCTTTATTAATTAAAAAATCCATTTCTATAATGCCTCTGCAGGCATTGAGGCTTAATCATGTGATAAGATTAGAAGCATTTTTGATATTTTCCATTCTTGTGTCTAGTGAAAAGTAGAGAAAATAAAGAGGAAGTTAAACATGTTAAAAAAAAGATTCTAGTATCAGGAGTAAAACATTCAAATATTATGTTTTCATTGTTCTTCCAGACATTCTCCAAAAAGTAAGAAATTCATCGCAAACTTTCTGTAAAATACGTCCATTATGTGTTGATACTATGGACACATTTTTCATTTTGTCACATATTTCTCGAATATTCTAGAATTGTAGGTCTATAAAACTTGCCTTCAAATCCTTCTAAACTTTCCAAGCTGTAATGTCTAAAATACTCAATAAAAATTATCCCTACCAATTCTGTAACAGCAAAAAGCCAGAAATATTTTGGGAAAAAAAAGGAAGGGGAAAAAGTGTAAAATTAATTTTATACAGAAAACTGATGCACATTCTGACACAATTACATGGGAAAAACTTTTACTATGAAATTAAAAAGAAGACATTATTAATTAATTACATAGATAATTTTGCTTTTGCTAAGAACTGTTTCATTAATTGTGCTTTATAGCATTATACATTGTTTATTTTTCAGATTCAAAATATTGTATAATAAGTTGCCAAAATGAAAATTTATAATATGACAGTGAAAAATAAAAATGTTTTATTTTAATGTTATTTTTTAAATATAATTTCATTATATTCTATTATTTTAATGAAATTTATCACTGTCACGATGTTTAAAAAAAATCTTAGAAAAATTCTCAGATCTCTGAATTAAAAATTTTCTATAAAAACTGATCTTAAAATCGCCAAATTTAGAACTGTTTAATAAAAGAATTCACATTCCCAAAAGCAAAAATTTGTTTAAGAGCTCTTCATTAGGAAAAATGAATTCCAAAATGCTTATGTTTCACTTCTTAGAAACTTGAGTATCCCATCATTTATATTAGAAATAAATTATAACCCATTGAACAAATTCAAAAGTAAACATGTGTGTCAGTGAATCACCAAAAATATTCCTCCAAAATGATAATTCACACTCAAAATGGAAATCGTAAACACAGACAGAAATTTCGGATGATTAAAATTAAGGACCTTCTTCTGATTTTGGCCAAAATTAAGGATCTTTAAGGACCAAAAATTGATTCCAAAAAAAATCTAAGGACTCTTAAGGACCGTACGAACCCTGAGTATTCATGGATGATTCTTTAAGGAAAACTAACTTGTTTTCCAGGAGTTAAACCCAAGTTGCAATAAGTGCTCAACAGTCTTACTGCTCGGCCACAGGTGGTCATTAAATTCTTCTAGTAAGATGCAATTTTTTCATTTTTCTTGTTTTTATTTATTCTTTTTGGCCATGGGGATTGCATCATGTGTTCACCAGATTTACCTAGAAATGAAGCAGAAGCAATTCATTACTTTCAGGCACATAGTATTTTGCCAAAAAGCTGCAAGTGTTCCCCTTACTAAAATTGTACATGACAGAAGATATAAAATGGAAATGCTGTATCAACAGCTGCTGACAGAACTTCAGAATAAGAATTGGGAATTGGCTTCAGGAAGGTCACCTGGCCTCTTATTCAGCACAGCAGATATGAAGACAGAAACAGCTTTACATAATAACAAATTGATGTGATTTTGAATGCAGTCGCAAAATAATATCCACAAGAAACAAAAATATGTTTAATCAATTTGCTGACAACAAAAATATATTTTACTGCCAACAGACTGTACATCAATAGGTGGTATATCGACCAGTACCAGCTAATCCAAGAACCAAATGGAAATTTGTAAAATCACTAAAGCAAACATTAATGAGATTCAAACAGATAGTTCACCTTTTTTGCATTTCCTAGTAATAACTTTTGTTTGTTCGCAAGAAGTATCACCCCTTTTCAAATTAAGTGTTTTCCTCTGCATATTTGATGAAGCATCACAGTCACTCCATGGACCTTTCTTGTATCTGCATTCTCCATCTATATTGAAAAAGAAATTATATAAGAGCGAATATCCTTCCTCACTTTGAAAACATATCAACTAAGATACTGATTAAAAATAAGGTTGGTTTTTTGGTTTTGGTTTATTTAATTATGGCAGAGCACAGGGCTATCTGCCTAAGGGGAGGGATGCCTTCGTGGATGACTTCGCGACGTCTAACATTAAAAATAAGGAATTTATAGCTTTCTCAAATCACGATCAGCAGATTTATAAGTATTTCTTCCTGATTCTGAACATAATTATTTCAATATACTTACAGAAAAATTATTCCAAGGAAGTTTTAAGATATATATACCAGGAGTGGACATAGCATGGCTCTTATGCAAATTAAATATATGCATGAAGTGCCATAAACTAAAACAACTTGCTGTCTAAGGAAAGTCACAACATGCTAAATTAGGCTAACTGAAACTAAATGATCGTTTAGAATCAAATGTTTCTTTCCATTTGGAACCTGTTTTGCTACTTTTAAAATAATGTAAATATGGATTTGTGCTTTTTGGAAATCTAGTTGTGGCTCCTGGCAAGTTTAGCCTCCCGATATATACACACAAATAACTATAACTGATTAAAAGATATTTTTCTCCCTCGCATCTCAGTTTGTTTTGTAATCTTAGAGTATTAAAATTTGACTTATATGAACAAAGTCAGGATAGCCGTGAAGTGTTAGTAAAATATAGATCGAATTATATTGACTCCTACACATATCATTAGTAGAATAAAGTACTTTTAATAGTATCACCATTTCTAGAATATATACTGATCACCCAAAACATTTTATGAACACTCTGCTAATACCATATATCTATCTACCTTTGGGATATAAAACAGCTGCAATCTCCCACAAAGTGAATTCAGTAAAACTTTGTAGACAAAGATTATATGAAATTTGCACAGGTCATGCTATCTTTTAGATCATCAGATCAGCGGGTTTCAAACCGTTCTCCATAAGTAAAAAAAAAAGTTTAATAAAATAAAAAAATCTGAAAGGTATCAGATTTTAAATTACGTCCAAAGGGTTTTTTTTTAAACGTTTTGTGTGCTTACATTTATTTATTAAATATCATGTTCTACGTACTCAAACCACAAAATTCAGCTCAACAGCAACATCACAAAATAATTTTAAAATGAACATATCTTCACTATGAGTTTCTGATACAGAGTCTTGCGTGCTGGAGATAAAAATGTTTTTTTTTTCCTTCCCCGCACAGTGTTGCCATTGCTCGCTTTGAAATCGTTCAGTCTGTTAATTAAAAATTTGATAAATGTTAAAAAATATGAAATCGATAATAAAACAAATTTCAAATTCAAATTAGCGCTTCCACTTGCTTATACTCTATGGAAGATTATGTTATTCAAATTTTGGTGGCTCTAGGTACTGTTATTTTTCACAATGCGAGAAATATACATGCAGATTCTTCATTATTTAATTTCTTTGAATACAATACAGGGCAATAATATTTGGTGGCAACGATTTGAAGTGAAACAACACTTATCACCGCAAAATGCTACAACAAAATTAATATTTCTGGGCAAATTGCCCTTTTGGACTTAAAAAAAAAAGACTAATGTTTATTAATTAAAAAATAAAAAGATACATTTAGTTTATCTTTGAACATTAATCAGAAACTTTCTGTGTGGACAGCTGATGTCCGTAACATGACATCAGTAATGTATGTGCACGAATAGCTCTGGTTTTTCGATTGTTCAGTCAATGTGTATGCAAAATAAATTCAAGTTCACTATGGAGTTTGTGTGACCATGAGTATCTAAAGGCAACTCACACCGTGTCAGCACTTGCTTGTTTTCTTCTTCCAATCAATTACTATATAATTATACAATACAGCACTTTTTTTCAATTGAAGATCATAAGAGAATATTTCCCAGAATAAAAAATTAAGTACGACTCCCCCCCCCAAAAAAAAATTCTGCTTAAATGCTACGATAAATCACAAGGTTTGTAAATAAATGAAGGAAAGGAAACAAATTATTGACATAGGAAAAGATTTGATGCTAAAATCTAAATTTCAGCAAGAGCAGCTCTTAAATTTTTGGTTGCAGATTCACACGGAACACCCAAAAGTGTATCACAGCTATAAACATTTTAATGCTATTCGGAACAATGTATTTCAAGTGAAAAATCTTTTTCAACGTATGGGAAAACACAAACAAATTAAATGTAGATATGAAATTCAACTGCAGATATCTATAGAGCTTGAATTAACAATTTGAGTAAAAAAATGCAAGTACACCTCACTCACTAAATATAATGTAAGGATAGATGGCAGGGGTATGTGATGCATGCCTATAAATTTGAAACCGTGAAAAAGGAATTACTATTTTTTAACTTACTCTAACAGTAAAATTTTTATTAATTACTTTAAATATGCAGCTTAGCATTGTAGTGTCGATTTTATTTAGAATAAAAAATTTAAAACAAAACTAACTACGTACTATCACGTTGCCTTTCTGCTTCTGCATACTGTTTAAATACAAGCATCATCAGCAAAATAATGCATTTTCCAAGGTGAAAGGGGAAAAAAAAAACCCATTTTGCTCATATTGTTCGACAACGAGAAAACGCAGCCCCAAATTTTTCTCTATCTGCATGCACTGTTCTTATCGCATACTGTGGAAGTGCACTGTGTCGCAAACTCCTTAGCATTTAACTAGATGCAATTCATTATTACAGTTTAGGCATTATTATTAGACATTTATTATTATTATTCAAAGGCAAATTTTCTGCTTTGAAGTTCATACCGCTATGTAAATTTAAGTTTAAAGTTGCTTATTTTAAACATACATATTCTTATTTCTGAGCTTCATCAATGTTTTGTATGATAATGAACACATTTTTTTTTTTTTTTTTTAGTTCAAAGGGGCAATTTGCCCAGAAGGACTATTAATTTATTTTTGGCATTTTGCATTGAAATGTCAGGTCACTTTTCAAATTGTTGCCACCAAATATTAAAGCCCTATATTATATTTAAAGAAACAAAATAAAGAAGCATCTGCATAAATGTATGTTTCTTGCACTGTGATAAACTACTGTAGTTACAAACATGGATGATGTTGGATTAATAATGGCACAAGAGTATCCCCCAATGGAGTCCAATGAACTGTATGCTCATACAAACATTAATATGTGCCACATTCAGCTGCGAATTGGGTCTATTTGCTAATTAGGTATGACCATTCAATGCCTTGGCTGCCTCTACTATCGGTTTTACCACCTTCTTCCATTTTTCATTAATACTAATAATAATTCATGAGCACTTGATAAGCAGTGTCATTTCAAACATACACATTTCAACCCTCACAGTATCCTAAACTGGCCTTTATCAAAGTCATTTAAATTAGCAGACTTCCCTGCTGCATGCATAAGTAAGTGATACATTTACTTAGTGTCCCTGGCAGACATGAACTAACATTTCCATGTTGTATATGCCTTTAATACCATTCCTGTGAGCACATTCACAGAATGAAAAGGTGGTTATAATATTTTGGCTAATTTGAATTTTTTCATAAATTTTCCCATCTAATTTATTTTTTCAAGGCTGCAGAACAAAATGTCGACCCTACTGCATAGATGAACGTCAGGTGATATTTGGTATCATTTTGTCAAATTAGATAAAAGCAAATGCCGGTATTGTCAGCAGACAATTTCTTGTCCTTTGGGATCTGCCTCCAATCTAAAAACTTATTTTTACACTGTAATTTGTAGTAGTAATAAAGTATCAATTACTGTAATAAAATAACGTAATCATTAACAAATACGAGTTTTAGTTTTTATTATTTTAAAACTTTTTAGCATTTTTTATTCCCAAATTTTATTGCCAGTTCCATGTAGAAAGGTGTTTTGGGGGAATCTCAAGTACAGTTGAAAGAAATTAGTTTAGGGAGTGAGTGGTTTGATTGAGTTGATTCCACTCCTTGTTTGATTCTTTCCGCTTTTCCTCTCATTTTTGCATACTGCTCTTGATTCACACTTGTTCCAATCACATACATCACTAGCAGTGAATCATTAAAAAAAAACATTCACTTCAGTCAGTGAATGGTTCCGATCTAATATCTTAAAGGAGCGATTCTGCCCATCTCTAATATATTTCTCTTGCTTCAGATCAAATGTAAGTAATTAAAAACTTACACCACTTTAGCATTTTAAGTACAAAAATTACCAAAAATTACTTTTTATGTTAAGATATTCAGTAAAAAGAAACAGTACTAGATGTAAACACAGATAAAATATTAAATTGAGAAAACTTCTTTAATCCGAGTTACAAGACAAAAAAACTGTAATTTACCTTTTTTCTTTCCATGGATGCCGCGGGGTACTCTATACACTACTTCATGATCCGAGTCATGAAGAAGTTCATCATGAAGATGGCCAACTGCTTCGAGTATGATACATGATGATATAATAAAACAAGCTAACAAGCAGGAGTTCATTTTTGGGAGTCTAGTCTAAGAATAACACAAGACATTTAGCATCATGTATGACGGCTAACATTTTTATTATTATACTTCATATAAAATCAAAAGTTTACAAGATACAACATACATATTACATGAAATATTAAATGTATCAAACTTTTTCCCTTTCTCTGAGTATATATCAGAGACTATTACTTTCATGCACAAATAACTTATACAGTAAAAAGTTGAAATCCTGATGTCCAATATCTGGAATGATCTAAAATCTAAAACTCCAAACCACCTACAAACATGCTTTCATGCATGCACATTTGATTCCCCCCTCCAAGCATAATAAAACATCTGGAGAGTCCCGATTCTTAATTTTACTTAGACACTAAATAAAATACCTTGTTACTGAAGAAACAATCATTTTAGCATAAATTTGTACAATGAGTAATTTGGCTCGGTTGCTGCATATCTGCTCGGCACACATCTCGCGAAACATTCCACATAGATACATCGTTGATCTGACGCCAATCTGACGAATCATTAATTATTTACTTTCCTTTCATCACCGCATGTTTATCAAAACATGACAACTAATGACTCATGTAGCGATGCCTAAACAATTTTTTTTTATGTTAGTAATTGAATAATAAAGGAGTATGGTAATCTTTTATGTTGACATTACACTTGGCGATGATTACAGATTTAAGTTAAATGCGCTAAAAAATGTTGACGAGAAAAAATTTATAATTTATCAAAAATTTCTTTCCACATGCTAAAAATAGATTTTGTTGATGATACTCATAGACTCAAAGATTACATTTAAAGCTATTTGAATTAAGAATAGAGACTGTATCAGGTGGGGATATCTAGCGCCGGCCCTCAATAAGGCTTAAGTATATGTGGGAATTTATTTATTCAGAACTCTGATAACCCTTAAGCATGTGCCCGAAATAGACATAAACAACTATAATAAAGTTGTCAGTAATAAAGTAACTATAATAAATAACTAAACTAACACAATTCAGGCTTAATTGTCTTAGTGCGTGATAGAAGCAAGATGAAATTTAACGGAACAACTTGTCGTTAGTCGCCAAGCTCACGATGCATAGCCAAATATGTATAGTGAAGGATAGCTAAACTTGATGATGATAGCCGCTAATTTTAAAGGTTTTTAGATATCGCAAAACAAAGATGAAATTTCCAATTAATGGACTCTGTAAAGAAATGTGGAGAAGTGGTAATAAATGAAGTTGATATAAAAGAAGTTTCTATATCATGAATGGCGAAATCTGTAGTATGGTTCTAAATCCAGAAAATACCGCTACTGATAGTGAAGAAAGTGGCACAGAAGTTACTGAAAACGAGACAATTTCGATTGACAAGTTAGTCGGAATTCTCGAAACAGCAGATACAGGACTTCAAGAATATAACTAAACATGAGATTATGTCTGTCTAAAGAATTAAAGAGAAAGTATTAGCACAAAAAATGAAGCAACTTTAAACAACTTCATTGAAAGAAATGTTTAATAAGATAAACAAATAAATATTAAGCTTTTTTTGGGGGGGGGGGGTAAATTTTGATACTCTTTAGATCATAAATACTTCATTATTTCATGAATCACAATTTCATATTTTTAATTTTATAATTTCTACATACCATCTTACTAGATTTAAACTAATGATCTATTATCCAGAAAAATCTCAAATCTGGAATCACTGAAGTCTCGACAAGTCCGGATTTTGGACTTTGTACTGTAGTAGACGGATTTTATATTAGAAAAGGCAGAGAGAAAAAAATGTATATGCCCCGGACACAACCACCTGAACAAAGTTCATGTTTATATTTGGGATGTAAATTGATGAAAATATCTGGACAACTCTGTCTCTAAAAATTTACTGCTTGTAAAAAAAGTTCCAAAATTTTTCTATTTTGTTCTTTTTTCTTCTTATTGTATACAAAACAATACTTCTATATATTCTATACTAATTCTATTATTCTTGTCAACACCCCCCCCCCAAAAAAAAATCTATGTAAGGATTTAAAAACACTGGGAAACATCAAACTGTTTAATTTAATTATTACTTGTTTTTGCAATGATTTATAAAGCAATTTAAAATAGAATCCTAAGTTTTAAAAACCTATTTTGTTTTGAAAAGCAAATAAGGTGTTAACTTTATGATTAACATTCTGCAAACTGTCCTGATGTTAGATTTTTAACATATTATGAAATGAATGAGCTTTAACGCATGAGCTGCCTACTTTAGTTACTATTCCCTGAGTCTATTCATAAGACGGAATATTTGCTGAAGCATTCATACAAGATGTAGCAATGTTGCTGCATATTTTGTTTTGCATAGTATAATGAAAAATCGCATATCAACATGGGTCAGATAAAGAAGCATTCTTTTGGTGATGAAATTTTACTTTATTCCACCGTACTTACTGGGAATATATGCAACAACAAAAGTAAATATTTCAGTAATAGATAATACAAAAGCAATTAAAAACTAAATCTACATGATAATCACAAAATGTTATATTACTGAAACAGTATGAAGAGTTCTACTAACTGATAGATGAGAAACTACTGAAGAAAATTTCAAATCTCTCAAACTATCAAGTAAAATCATTTGGAAAGCAATTGTTTTTGAGAATCCAAATGCTATTTTGAATAATAGCATTGAGAGAATGCTTGACAGAATTTTTACGTTAACAGTTTAAAATAATAATATTTCAAACAAAAAGTTCTTTTTTTAATACTACCAGAATAGTTGCTCTGGATCGACTTTGGAAAAGTCAGATCATTTTCCTTTTGTGTTGCATCTCTACCCATTATTAACCCCTTGGATACATCTGACGTCTGAGACACGTCATTCACTTTTTTCCCCCTAGGAGCGGATGACGTGTCTAAGACGTCAAACTAAAAATTAAACTCTTGGGTACATTTGACGTCTAAGAGACGTCATTCACTTGTTTTCCCTAGGAGTGGATGATTCACATACTTAGCACGAAACATTCAAATGCTTATTTGATAAACACAGGCAAAAGGAGAAAAAATGAAGGTGGTGATAGCGGAAATATTATAAAACCGGCATGCTAGTGTGCTTCCCAGTTATGAGAAAATGTGTAAAGGGTTATAAGAAAACATTTTTTTATCTAATAGATATGGCATTTTATAATGCTCATGTTTTATATTCTAAAATCAACTGTACAACCAAGGCAGGCATTACTTCCTTTCGCTTAGCTATTGCCGCAGAATTGCTGGAGCAATTGTCATTGCCAAATTGTAAACGTCGTGGACACCCGTCAAGTAGCGATACACCATTTCGTTTGGCAGCGAAAAATTGGGCACACTTTCCTGAGAATATTCCGTCAACTAAGTCAAAGCAACACCCTGGAAAAAGGCGCCATGTTTGTTATAAGCATAATATTAGGAAAGAGACTACGTGGCAGTGCAAACAATGCAAAGTAGCACTTGCATTTACTTACTCGCTTTGAAAAATATTACACTCTGCATAATTATTAGTAATTGGTTTTCTGTTATAGCTTGAATTTATTTTATTTAGTTTTATTTTGTTGTTATTAATTTATTTTTGTTTTGCAATCCTAATTACTTGAAGACATCTTAATACTACATATGTCATCAATATTTTAGAAATAAATAAATTCTTATGTAAAATGTACTGCTTTTACATTCTACTCCAAGCAACCAAAAATTATATCCGTTCGACATGCAAATATTTTCTGAAATAAATCCGTACCCAAGGGGTTAAACCAAGTTGCTTTTCAAACTAAATATGGAAACAGCATTTTATAAAACACTCTGTAATTTAATATGCTGTAAGGACATTGGCTAATCTTTGGAATATGGTAACAGGTAGTTTGGCGACATTTTGGTAAGGCGATGAAGGTTACTAGGTAGGACTTTAGTAGTGTACATGGATAAAGTCAAGAGTGTGCGCAATGCCATTTTTTTGCAATTATGGGATGTTTTTTTAAGTGTAAATAGGTCGACGTGTACATGGATACCGTATATGTGCAATTATTAAAAATGCGGCAAGCAGTGGGCGATTCTGCCCTTTCTCCCAATTTCGCACCTAATCATAAACTAGCAGGTTGCTTGTAGCAGGGTCGGTTGCCAAATTTTTGCCGTAAAATTGCCAAGTTATCATAATCCAAAGATTAACCAGGACATTACACTTCCAATCATACTGGAATTAAATATTCAAGGGCAATAATTGTTACTGTGAATGTTCTACCTCTATAACTGTGACTGTAACAAACTCTATCGCATAGATTTTGTAAAATGTGCTTGTAACTTTATTGCTTTATTAAACGTTTTCAAAATACTTCATCACGGTTGTGAATTCTGATGAATGAGATTTTAGCAAAGAAATTTAGCGCCATCTCAACTCAAAATAATTGCCTTAATACAACAGAAGCTAGATGTGAAAACGAAATAAATGAACATGCTGTTTCATCAAATACTTGCACAAAATAAGTGTACTTACATCCTTTGATTGTTAATATACCAAAAACCAGGAAAGAATATTTGGTATGCATTATAATAGTAGACTCAGGATGTCAGAAGAGCTATGTAAGCAAATCTGTGGCTGAGAAATTGGGTTTGAAATTACTAGAAGTAACACATGGTGGGATAGCTTTGGGGAGCATCTAACATGCATGTTCAAAACATACTGAGGTTGTTTCAGGAAACGCTGATCTAGATTATGAAGACCTATACACAGTACTCTGCGATGTTGAAAATATCATGAATAATAGACCCTTGACCTTCATGTCTGAAGATAGCAATGACCTTATACCCTTAACTCTTTTGCATCGGTCGAGGCCAAATTCTGTTACCCTCCAACATCTAAAACAGCTGTATATACAAATTTTTGTTAGAATGGATTTCTTTTCCCCATGCCAAGTAGAATTCTACATCATATACAATAAGCAAAGCAATTAGTTTTCTCTCAGGGATCATTCATAGGTTTGAACCACTGTGTGCAGTTTCTCCGCAGGATAGGATTGCATGTGAGCATCAATAGCTAAACACTGACACTAAACAAAGAGACAAGGTGCATTTAAATAATACAGCTATTTTTGGTCGCTTCAAAAGAATGATTGGAATGTCATTTAACAATTCCCAAAACCAATAAATCATGCTTTCATGCGATGGAGGAAAGCACCTGGTAGAAAAAGGAAGCAGGCGTTTGAGCGACTTCGCTGCAAGAATTACAGGAGTTAATTCCTATAATGTTTTTGCAAGAAATAAAAAAAGCGAGAGTTCCAGATTTATATCTAATCGATTCAATCAAGGCTAAAAAGCGTTATGCATATAGACAAAGAATCAGAACAACTCGAAAAACAATTTAGAATTAAATATTTAGAGCAGTTGAGAGAATATAACACGACCTCAAAAGAATACAATTTGATGGAAGGCAATATTATCCTTCTTGGAGATAACGTGAAAAGAAACAACTAGTGCTTAGCCAAAGTGGTCAAAATGTATCCTGGTAAAGACGGAAAAGTATGTGCGGCAAAAGTCAAGACCAAACATTGGACTTATGGAGACCTGTCCAGAAATTATATCCGTTACAAGTCAATAACAAACTGTTAAAGAACGGCGATCCCAATGTAGTGACCAATGATTGTAGTTCAACTCCTTATGCGAATGCTTCAAGTGATCCTGAACGCTTTGAAAGTAATGAGGTTGTCATTCAAAAATCATGACTTGAGCGTCCCTTGAATAAGACACAGTGAATAAACCTATGACTTTGAAAAATTATTCGGTTTCAGTTATAAATCTCAGATCATGAGCATATTGCAAATGTTCTCCTACCTCTGTGACTATAAATTTAACAAACTCTAAGTTTTGATTTCTAATTGTAGCCACGTAGACTTTTTGAGTTCATAGTATATTTTGTAAAATGCTGTAAAATGTGGTTGTAACTGAAATGTCTTCAAAATATTAGATCACTGTTGTGAATTTTGATGAATCTGAGATTTCAGCAAAGAAGATATACACCATCAGCAAACTCGTTTACTCAAAACAGAAGAAGAAACATCAAGGTTCTCAGTTCCTTTATTGAACATTTTGGAATAACTATTACAGATCAAGGGCTTAAAACACTCATCCGATAAGCAAAAAATCCCGATCATCAATTAATGCAAGAACTTCACAAACTCTAAAATTAATATTCATAAAATTACACATTTTTCAAATAACTTCCTAGTAATTGATATCTATGAAAAAAGCCTGTAAATTAAAAAAAAATTACAAAAATTACAAGCTATTTCTTCAATCAGCCAGCTAACTTTTTCTTACTGCAATCTTAACCTAGCAAGGCTTAAATTTAACCCAAACCTGGATGAAGCCATCTCTGGTACTTTATTTGAAAGACATAGTAACTCCTGCTGCACTTAGGCAAAAAGAAAAGTTCTGTCACTCATGCTACATTTCTTATAGCAGTTAGTAAGAGTGACAATGATAACCAACTGCTGCATGTATGTCTCACTTTTCCTGGCAAGAGTTAAAAATCTTAAACCACCATAGAAAACTATTCACATATCACTTCAGGAATGGAACAATTTTACAGAATGTACCAGTGTTACCAAAAAAGGCTTAAAGTTTGAAGTGGAAAAAAGGAAACAATGCTATACGAGTTTGACAATTTTATCTTTCTCATCATAATCTACCATCATTAATTTAATCATTTACTAATTTATCACTTAAAATAATAATATATTTTTATTACTATTTATGAATATTTTTACAATTTTACATTTCACTATGCATTGTTTAAATTACTATTATTTTATTATAGCTGATCTTCATAAACTGCCTTCAATGTAAAGACCTACAAATAATTGTTATACTTCTTATTTAAAAGCCCACCAGTGTCGAGCGGTAAAGTCGCTGAACACTGGTAGTTCGGTCTGAGGTTCGAATCCCGCAAACGGGCTGGCTGCATGGGCGTTTTTGTGGTTTTTCCCATGTGTTACGTGTACACGAGCCAGTTTCCCTTGGAAAGTCCTCCACAAAGGCATCCCTCCCTTTAGGCAGATAGCCCTAGTGTGCTTTGCCATAATTAAATAAACCAAACCAAACCAATCTTATTTAAAAAAATAAGGACTAAAATACAGCAAATTCTGCACATGTTTGACTTTTCTGAGAAACATTCTTTCACTTGCATTTCTACATATTCAAGTGCTGCTATAATGATATACTACGACATAATTACAATAGTGAGATCAGTTACATATCCATATACACAAGGAAAGCATTAAACCACATGTAGCTGACAAATTTTTATTGGGATTAAATAAGTATAGATGATGAAGCCAATGATAAATGATAACTGCAAGACTTGCAGATATTACCATAAGAAACTTACAGTTAAACAATGTAAACTAAGTAGTCTGAATATAATTACCTAAATTTCTTCATAAAAGTTTCATATAAAATTAAATGCAAGGTTTTACTTGCACCAGTTTCATGCCTACAGTATGTTACATATAACTAATATATACTATCAATACTAAAGCATATCTCTCTACTGTTTAATATCTTAGGCATTTGCTGAAATTCTTTTAATCAACAAACATTAGCCCTCTTTAACTTCTGTCACTTCTGAAAATTACACAAAACTACAATTTATGCATATAATTAGCAAACTTGGCATGCTCAATGTCTGAAATAAAATTACGAGTTTAAATAGATAGTTTTCTAATCAGATTTTATCACAACTACACAACTACTTATGATCTATAAAGTTATGCATGAAGAGTTAAACATCCACACATAATGAAGACACACACAGCAGTGTTTTTACAAAATAAATTGAGATAAGCAGCAATAGGATAAGTACTATAGATCTTTAACTGTTACATGTAAAAGTATTAAATTGAATTAGTCATTTAACATTTTTAATAAACATGTAGGGGAAAAGAAGATTAAAAAATGAATCTGACAGTTGTTTGTATGACATGAAAGGCACAGAGATTTTAATATTTTCTCTATTTATTGAAAAGAATTGAATAGAATGAAATGCTCAATCTACAAATCTACTGTTGAAATGATGGGGGGGGGGACAATTGCATTCCGCAAACTCAAGTTACAAAACTATTGTTGAAATGATTGGAGGAGAGGGGTAAACTATAAACAACGCATTCAGCAAAATTACCATTAAATGCATGCCATTTCATTAGTTATCACTACATTCGTATTGGAAGTCAGATAAAACGGAAATACCTTCTGCTGTATATAGACAAAATAAAAATGCAACCAACGATTTCCCAGCTGATTTGTGAAAGATAAGGGTTTACGAAAAAATAATCTGCAGATCTAGTACAAAATGAAATGCATCAAACAAAGTAAATTCCAACCCTACTAACGTTAGTTTATGCTACTTAATTAAATGACAACTTTTCTTAACTTTTAAATTTCACATATGTTTGTTTGTATTTTATTCATTATTATGCCTAACGTTCACACAACCAGAGCTAAGAATATTGTACTACCGCAAATCGATAAATTGTAAGAACGGTGTGCAAAATGACTTCAGAATAACAGAATATTACTTACTGAATATGATAATAACACAAATGAATAAGTATTACACTTTCATGAATTTAACAAAAAATATGAGGAATACCGCTGAATTCTGAACAATAATACTTAAAAGTAGATATAAGATGTCCCCGTCTGGGGAAAAAGGGCAACTAAACCGGTTGAGGACTGGTGATATCTGGATCTAACCAGAGTGTACCAAAATCGTTTTTCCCCATATCCCTTTTTTCCCTCATAAAATCCCCATCTCGACATTTAAATAGAAGGACAGAAAATAGCTTGTCATCTTTTATTTTGAAGAAATTGAAGACATCATTTAATATTTAGAATTAGACTAATAAAACAAAACTACGTAGTTAAGTGCAATTAGTATAGTTGTGAGGAAACAATTTTTAATTCCTGACAAAAGAAGCATTAAAATATCACAGTCAGTAATAATTTCTAGAAATATAAAAGTACTTCTAGAATATTTAAATTTATTTTCTAACAATCTGATTAATTAACCGGTAATTCTACTTTTTTCTTCTTGTTTTAGTTTTTCTTTTTTAGGAATGCTTTTCCATTTCCACGTTAAAACGTACCATTTTCACGTTCTTGAAAGCACTTAACATTGAACAGAACCGTAGTTAGGATTTTCAGCGCCCGGGAAGAGCCTGAAGATATCGCACCCTCTACTGTTTGCCAAAAATGGAAAACCTTTCATTCTAAAGTTTTGTATCATCAGTTTGGCGTAACTTGGACGCTGTACCCTGGGACCGATATCCCCATTGTCCCCCCCTGCTACGCCACTACTGTAGTATCAGAGAGCTTTTAATCCCTCTTAAAAATACTTTCATGAAAAACTATGTAGGCTTTCATATGCAAATTACCATTTAAAAGCTACATCAAGTTAACCTACATCAATTACTCGGGAAGGAAACTTATAGTTAGTTCTAACAAAAAGTATTGCATTTAAAGTGCAGTGGAACCTCGAATCAGGAATGCCTCTAATTATAGACGAATCGACTTACAAAGAAATTGCTTGAAAAAAAAAGTCTCTGGTAACGAACAATTTCTTGAGTGACGAACGAGCAAGCCTGAAACAAATGATTTTCAAAAGTTTTTTTGAGACAGTTTCTTGCACAAAATTTACAGTCACAGACTTCTACAAACATCATTATAATATTTTCCTCTATTGCTTAATTCTCATTAATAAAGTCTCTCAAGAACTGATTTGCAATTCAAATAAATAAAATCAAATTTTGGAAAATTTATATTAAAAAATCTATTTAAAATGCGTAGTTCGAATGAATGAATAGGAAATTTTAAAACAATTATCTGAGGAGACAATGCAACACAAAAAAATTAAAATAAAAGTCTAAAAATTAAAAAATCACACAAAATATGAACTATGACTAAAATATAGTATAAAGAAAACTATTTGAAAAAAAAATAATAAAAGATGCACCTTTTATTTAAACTACGCAGTTCTAATGAGTAAATAGAAATTTTTAAAACAGTTATTTGAAAGAAACCATGCAACTTAAACAATTAAAATGAAATTCGAAAAAAAAAATATTTGAAATAATAACATAAAAGTATAATATAAAGAACATTGTTTGAAGGAAAGAACCAAGTGACTTTTTATCCTCTTACGCACAATGTAAAAAGGAAAAGGAAAAAAGGTTGTCATATGTTAAAAAGTTCGCCAAGTGAACTATTCTTGGCGCAAACTGAAGAAAAAGCGCCAATATAAATTTTTGAATTTCTCCGTAAGTATCACACCAAATTTTACAAAATTTAATAATTAGACATAATTTGCGTAGTAGGATCGAAATATGTAAAAAAATTGGTATGTTATTTCAGAAAAAGTCCGATTTTGTGTCAAAATACCTATGTTAGAAATAGTGCTATATATTGTTACGTTTTTCTTTTCTAACACCAGTTGTTACGGGATTTTTTCCCTTCACGTTCGTACGAGGTTCGTAGATTTGGAGTGAATAACGACGATACTTCATGAAGTATCGAAACACACTTTATTTACCAATATTAATCAGGACAGCTCCAAACGCATTTACAGTCGTCGAAGATCTACTATAAACACGCTGACACGATCAGCGACACAGCCTCCAGGTTATCAGGCTATCACGGTGGAGACAGCTTAACGGCAAAGCACTAGAGTACAGCTCTCGACTCTGCTTGGTCGTTCTCGGAACTCCACGTACTCTCGAAACTTTCCCCGCTACAACTCACAATGCACTCGACGACACACAGAGCACAGCTGCCGACTCTTCGGTTCAGTCGTTCCCGGAGCTCAACACGCTCTCTCGACGATGCACTAAGCGCGATACACTACGAGACTCTTTCGGTGCACTCGACGACCCACTCGGCACTCGCTGCCCGGCTGTCAAGTCGATCGACTCCGAAGGGATTGACCTGCTAGACGAGACACCAACGTGTTACTGACTAATTCGCAACTCTAGATGAGGCACTGTCTGACTCGCCCTCTCAACGAGGCACTCTCTGAATAGCTCTCTCAACGAGGCACTTTCTGACTCGCTCTCTCAACGAGGCACTCTCTCTGTTGCGGGCTAGCAAAGTTTATATAGCTTTCGGCTTGTGTTCGAGAACATTCTGGGCTAAACTGATAAGAATTCGTTCCAGAAGTTTCTCCATCCGTCCATGGTATATCGTCAATTTTGTCGCCAAATGGGCGATTTCTCTCAAAATGTGGCAACCCTGCCTTCCCCTGCTATTTTATGGCAACCCTAAACCTGCTTTGCGGAAAAACTATCTCACGGCGCCTGTACATTTCGTAACAATATAAATCTAGGTACTTTTCCTTTTCGCCAGCGCAAATCTCGCCAAGCAGACTTTGTTGGCGACAGCATACAGTATACACATAAAAAATGTTAACGAATGTTAGCTCTAAGAATTTTTTATTCCGAAGGCAAAAACATTTTAATATAGTTTAAAATTTTGCAAACTGCCAATAAATAAAGACAATAAATTTGTAAAAAGACGTTAATATAAGAATTTACTATGCTTTCATGGTTCAACATCCTGATTCGCCGGCTCGTACCACGTGACTCCAAGTGGTCTCATCTCACGTAAACTACACTACGAAAATCTAATTCTCTCACTAATTATCTACATTAATTTCAAGTTAAATTTCAATTTGGAATACAAGTTTAAATACAAGAATTATTTCAATTCGTACGAATAGTTTACTCAGAAATTGCGTGAAACCGTAGTGCTTTACTTCGCTAGAATTAAGAATGAATGAATTTAACTCTTAATTTTGCCTTTTTTATATTTTCGCTATCGAGTGAGCGGTGTCATTGCATTCTAATTGACTTAATTACCGCGAATCGTCTTATAGCATAAAATTTAACTATCTTGTAAAAATTCTATGTAATTGTATGCCGATATTGAAAGAAACAATCAATCTGATAAGAAATGGTTGCGACTTGTTTTGAAAATGAGGCGTAAAAGGTTACCAGTGAAGATATTCCATTTGGCATCAGTTGTACCATTATTGGCAACTTTATCGTTCGCACCAGCAAAACGGAAAAGTACCTAAATCTAATATATATCCCAAGTCGCGCCTTCGCGACATGAAAAGCGCAATTTGAATTTTGTCAATCGGTCCAGTAGAACGGGAGATATAGAACTGTTCCATTTTTTTCCCGCAGTGTACATGTTAAATTAATGTTAAAATTTTAATAGTATTTTAACATAATTAAATAGATTAAAATTTCTAACGCGAAGAACTTTTTTCTTCCCCCTTGAGGTAAGATTTCATCATACTGGGGTCCGAAATTAGTACTTCCTACCATTAAAGTTGTTTGCAAATGCTATGCTTTAAAAATGATCTGAATTGCTATTTTACATACTTGATTTTCGAAAATGTCTTTTCGCTATGGTAAGTACTCTCAAACACGGATATCAATTTCCGTGCATATGATTTCAATTGAGCGTATTTGTTTTACGAAAGATATTTATAAATTGAGTTAAATCCTTTTCTTTAAACATCATTTTTAACATATCATCATTTTTCAAATCTGCCACTTACAACTGAAGGTCTGATGGAAGCTCCTGAATTATACAATGAAATAGCTATTGAAACATGGAAATACGTTTTTCACTTGCATCAAGATCCACAAAAGGCGCAACTTTAGTATAAGTTCATGAAACATATCCTACGCGGACATTCGGCAGTTTTTGAAAATTTTTACAGCATAAAAATGGGCAAATTTGTTTAATGTTATTTGCGTTTCAATCATTTTAAATTTTCGGCGATATGCCTTTACTATAGAATATATTTTACACATGAGTACTGTTTTCTCCTGTAATTCTAAACTGAATTCTTTGGCATATCCCACGACATCTGTGACAAATGCTACTTTTCATAGCCATTTGTTGTTTGATAATAAAGGTGGCCAATTTTACGAATTAAGAAATGTATCTATGACATCTTTAAATTTGAAGAATCTCAACGGAACTTTCTTGTAGCTGAGCCATCGAACAGCTGTATGATAAGGCAAGTCAGGATATTCAGCTTTCGTTTCTAATAAAAATTCACGAAACTGGCGACGGTTAAGTCAACGAGAGCGAATGAAGTTCACTACTATTACAAATGGTTCATAACACGCTACAGATTGAGGTAATTCCGACAAAGAGTTTGTAGAGACATTAGGTTAATTGGAAGCAGGCGAGATGAAAAATTAGCAAACGCCTTCGCCGGGAATCGAACCTTATAAGCTTGCTGGTGTATAATACAACGAATTATCAAAAGTTTTAAACATTTAGCATCTTCACAAACCTTAAAAAGTTGTCTAACTATTCCTTTCTCCGTTCCACATATTATTTCCACCATCAATTGTGACACATTTTTAACTGATTCCATTATAAATTGTACTGCGTTTGCGGTTTTTCGACTTCTTTGAAGAAATCTTCACCCGCAGTTATTCCACGCAGACTATTCATTGAAGTTAACTCTTCAATCACTTAAAGTTCAGCATTGCCCCTCGATTAAACACCAGCAATTGGGCAGTATTAGTAATATCTGTCGACTCAATCAAGAGCCACTGAAAACCGTTTGAAATTTTTTAGTCTTTTAATTATCTCGATGCGGCTCTCGATATCCTCAAGGTCTTCTAATAATTGTTCTCGCCGAAAGACTGACAGAAAC